GTCTCTTGATCTGTCATTGTGACCTTACCTCTCTCTCTCTCTCTCTCTCTCTCTCTCTCTCTCTCTCTCTCTGTCTCTCTCTCACACACACACATTCACAGAGGGCTGTTGGCAATCGGGTGGTGAGATTATGGAGCGGTAATCTCTCAGATTAATACTTAAAATGAGCGCTTAATTACTTAAACCCTGCTGGCAGGTGCAGCTGTGTGTGTGTGTGTGTGTGTGTGTGTGTGTGTGTGTGTGTTGGTAGATGTGCATGCAGTACACAAAAGCCCTGGCAGCGTCTCTCTCTGAATTTAAATTTCATCTTGCTTTATTGGCATGGTATGTGAGTCCATCTGTGCTGCCAAAGCATTTAGAGACGGCGAAGGAACTAGTGCAGTAGAGAGCAGGTGATCACGGCGGAGTTATATAAAGAAGTGACCGATAGATTCTGCGTGAACGTGCACAGAACTGCTTCGACGTTCAGGGAAGGTTTTTTAAAGCTACGTCCCGGGCCAGATGATTTATATCGACAGCTAAACTGACAAACTGTCTGCTTTGTCCCTTTCTTTAGCATCAGTAGCCTGTTCCTTTAAGCGAGGCATTTATACTCTTGTAACTGCTCCATTTGACTTTTCTATTGGCCAATGTGTGTGTGTGTGTGTGTGTGTGTGTGTGTGTGTGTGTGTGTGTGTGTGTGTGTGTGTGTGTGTGTGTGTGAAACAGGGGAAACACCATGTGTGCCCTGTCAACCTTACCAGGATAAATAAAGGTTAATAGGTAAAATATTTACAGAGTTGGAGTTGACATGGCAAGGAAGGAACTACTGTGTCTGTGTGCGTGTGTGTGTGTGTGTGTGTGTGTGTGGTTTCTTAGTCTTTCTAATGTCATCTAGATTAATCAGATTAACACTCAGACCCAAATCCTGTTAAACACACACACACACACACACACACACACACACAGAAATTCACGTGGAACAAAAGAGGAAGTGAGACATCTGCTCGAAAGGAACTGTACACACTGGCTTCTTTCTTTCTTTCTTTCTTTCTTTCTTTCTTTCTTTCTTTCTTTAAACTTAACTGGTAATGAACATTCCCTTGTTCAGTCTGCATGTCTGGAAAACATGAATTAACACACTTTTTGTACAGACTTGCCTATTCTCCCACACACACACACACACACACACACACACACTCACACACACACACACACACACACAGTCAGAATGTGATAGCTCGGTGTTATAAAAGATGGGCGGGTGATAAAAGAGAGGAAAGGAGTGTTCCTCTGCCTTTGCTCTGACTGCAGGTAAACTGTGATATCAGCGCTGCATGTGTGTGTGTGTGCCGTTGTGTGTGTGTTTTGTGTGTGTTTCAGCAGCACCACAGTCGGCTGCCTTGCTCAAACACACAGAAACAGAGAGAACCGGCAGTTTACTTCAAGTTCGTGTGATTCTATTCAGGCACATTTATGGTCAGAATACAGACTTGAAGCCCCACCCCTTCTAGTTAGCTTCTGATCAAGTTTGTCCCAGTGGCCAGTCGCAGTACTGCAGGCTAAATAGTATTTTCCCCATAGACCACCATTATAAAAGAAACATCTGGGACACAGTTGACAGGACACAAAAAAAAAATAAAAAACTGGGTAGTTACACAACTTTTACAGAGAGAATGAGTGAGAAAATTTTGGAATAAATAGGCGCCCCTTTGAAGGACAGTACCCAGATCTCATAATGCATCAGAATATATCTACGGCTTCATCATAAAGAGTTTCCTTTATCAGTCGTTGTGAAAAACTAAAACACATTCCCTTGGTTTTCTGTCCATATTCAATAAGTTATTGAAAAAAGGAAATTTATGATGTTTATTTTATAGACTAGAAAGAAGACATCGCTGCGCTATGGAAATATTTGACTTAACACCAAAAAGATTGCTGCAAGTGCGCTTCACCTCTGGTATACAATTTTCCAGGACAACATAGATTATTTCCAGGATAGTTGGTCATTTTAATCAATCTCCAGGTGTTTCCATGACTGGAAAACTCACTTCAGTCTCTAAATCTTCAGGTTTTCCAGGATGCGTGGGAACTTGGTGAATCACTGCAGTAAAAAAAGGAGCAACTAGATGACATACTTGAAATAGCAGCAGTCAAACAGTGGAAAACCACGTAGAAAATGAGATTGAAAAAATAAATGTGTGTATATACATATACATATACACTGCACACCTACTTTAGAGGAAGGCCATGTTCCTAACTGAGAAGTTTCAAGAGAAGTATGGCGTCGTATCACACAACCATAACCTTTTGGTAAACATGTTAGAGCAGCTAAGTCATCAGTAACTTGTATTATGTAGCGATTGCACCCCCTTCAGGTGCCAACGAGGCTGTAGCCTGAAGTGCTGCTAATTTAATGTAAAATTCACACTTCTTCCCAAAATGTAGGTTATACAGGAACTAGGAAACATGCAGTGTTTGAACAGTTTTGACACGTGCACATGCTAAAGTGCAAGAATTTAAAGGCTCACATCGTTCAGGAGCTACAATTAAAAATATCCAGTTAGTGCTAGAGCAGCAGCTTTTCGGCTCACACACTGACTGCGTCTCATCTGCCACAACAGATCTTTATTAACATGAAAATGTTGCAGGTTACTGCTTTCATTCACTAATTTACTGTGTTACCAGCATCAGCGAGCATTCTGCCACATTCACCCGCTCTTGGGAGTGTTGGCATCAAACACACACACACACACACTCACACACACACAAACAGGTCGGCAGCCCACTTCTGTCCCAGTGCTGGCAAACAGACACACAGACAGAGTCGACAGCTGGAGGCTAACGTCAGCTGAGCTGTAGTTTCACCATTTTAGAGAAACGTACAAATAACAAATGCACCCGATCTAATGATGATAGCATCGACATGGAATTACACACACACGCCGCTCTGTCTGTGTGTGTGTCTGTGTGTGTGTGTGTGTGTGTGCAGTGGCTTACTTTTCTTTTTACATCTGAATGCACCTTTTATGTGGGCCCATGCATTTCTCTGTGTGTGCCTTTTCATTATGTATGCGTTTATATTAGTCTTTTTGTGCCTGTGTGTGTGAGCACATGATGTACGCTATGTGCTCACACATGTGTTATTGTGTGCGACAGTATGTGTATATGCCCCTATGGCTGCGTTTCTGACCTCTTTCTGGCCCATATGTCTCAACATTCTGAAGTGAATCTGAGCTCAGAGTTGTTTCGATTGCAGGGAGCTGGAAGTAGACAAATAAGAGCTCTACTTTTAAATGTTAAAAACAAATGTTAAAGTCTTCTGTGACATCTTCTGCAAATCCCGCCATCCGGGGGCCTCAGGGTCCTAAGTCCAGAACCCAAAGATGAGAAACCTGTGAGTGATCATCTTTGTGTGTATTTGTGTGTGTGTGTGTGTGTGTGTGTGTGTGTGTGTGTGTGTGTGTGTGTGTGTGTGTGTGTGTGTGTGTGTGTGTGAGTGTGTGTGATCACAGCTCAATCACATGATGCATCACATTGCCTGGTCTGTCTCCATACCAGCTCTCTTTCACTTCCCCTATTCTACATGATCTCTCTCTGTCTCCCTCTCTCTCTCTCTCTCTCTCTCTCTCTCTCTCTCTCTCTGGCTCTGTCTCCTCTTCCATACCCTCCCTCTAAATTTGTAAATCTCATGTTTCCCTCTTCCTCTTTTACTCTTATCATCTCTTTCTCTCTCTATCTCTCATCCATTTTTTAAAAATGTTTCTCTCTTTCTCTTCTCTCAACAACCCCCCCTTCCCTCATGTTGCCAAAGAATCTGCATGTACATTTTATAATCTAATAGAACAATTAACAGTTTATTCAAACCTTGTATTATTGGACATCCTTCGCTTTCAGCTCATACCGTCAGCCCTCTGTCTGCGTGTATCACTGACGCCACATGATTGTCATATTAACTGTGTTACCTTGGTATGATTACTGTAAACAAAGAAGACCACGTGAAGACCATTTTTAGCTTCTAACACCGGCGGTGTTGTTAGAGATCAAGTTTCTCCACATTCAGATACACACGTTCGATATATTTGAACATACGGTCGTCAGGAACATGTTGAAAGTTATTTGCTTTTCCATCTTTCTGTAAGTTGGTAATCAGAAATTCTTTTACCCCTCAAGTACACTGGGTGCGCGCTGCAAATCATCCATTGTTAGTAAAGGATTACTGAACTTGGATCGATCTGAATGTCTCAGAATGAATTGATGATTGATTGATTGATGATAAAACGCTAGATGTCACACCTGCAGTCACTTTGATGTATCTGTCGTATCTTCAGAGAAATGTTGTACTCTTTCCTCCATTCAATTTAATTCTCAGCTATATTTACTGGTTACTTTTC